GCTTCTACCCCGAAAAGGTGGGGTGGAAGGGGAATAGCTATTGAACTGTGGACGTTATCACCCCCGCCCTCCCCCCCCCCCACCGTTTCCCCACTTCCCATTGCTCCAGAGATAGCCCACTCTATACAACTGATATATACATAAATACAATACAAATGACGTATTATTGCAGTTATAATCAACTAGTTACAAACTATTAACAACAGGATGCCATTGATGGACACACTCCGGGGATTTAAAGATTTTTTTTAACGTTGTGACTATGGACCATTGCTGCGGAAAATAGGTCTGGAAATGGAAATCATAGCGATATATCTCAACAAGCGCTGGATTAAACCATGGATAGATGTGGTAAAAGATGGTTCATTTTAATATAAGTTTATTACATTTATTATAATATATGTTTATTAGAAAAGATGTGTAAAAAAATTGCTGAAAAGCGATATTTTTTAACCTAGGCATCTTGGCAGAATTGACACATTTACCAATAACTTATGTTTCACTGTATTGACCAACGATCGATCCTCCACCCCTTCTGTCGCCCCCCACCTTGCAAAAGCTCCCGCCCCAACCACCCCCACCCCCCAAACTCTTTACAGGCCGGCTTCGTAAACAAGACCTACAATCTGTCCGTGTCACGTCCTGGGCCAGGTCACATGCCCCGCCCCCCCCCCCCNCCCGCGGCGAAAGATGTCCGGCAAATTAAGCAGGATCAAAGCAGACATGGATTGAAGTATCGCAGGCAGGAACCGCCTGATGAGAAGGGATGGCATTTGCCAGATGTCTGACTAATTGCGTGACCTGGCACATACTCGAACATCATACACAGACAATGGAAATAGTGTATAAAAAATGTTTCCCACAAAAACTGGCCGCCATGTCAAATTGATGGAAGAACTCTTGGGTGCTTGGACCAAGTAGATTTAAACAAATATAGTTTTATCTTGAACCTGTCTACATTGTCACCTGGGCTATAATTGTCCATATTATCATGTGGGTTTCATTGTCCATATTATCATGTGGGTTTAATTGTCCATATTATCATGTGGGTTATAAATGTCCAATTTATCCCGTGGCTTGTATTTGTCCATATATCATGTGGGTTTTATATGTCCAATTTATCCCGTGGCTTGTAATTGTCCATATTATCATGTGGGTTATAAATGTCCAATTTATCCCGTGGCTTGTAATTGTCCCTAACATGCCATGAGTTCGTGAGACAAACATGGTTACATTTTAAGTACGCGCATTCTGAGCCATGCTGTCGAGTCGCACTGCACTTTTGAGTGGCGGTCTGAATTCTTAAGTTGGTTACAAAGTCCGAGAAAGTCCCAGTTCAAAATAATGTAGCAGTAAGCTCCCAGCCAAAGAATGTAGCAGTAAGCTCCCAGCCAAAGAATGTAGCAGTAAGCTCCCAGCCAAAGAATGTAGCAGTAAGGTCCAGGCCAAAGAATGTAGCAGTAAGCTCCCAGACAAAAAATGTAACAGTAAGCTCCCAGATAAAGAATGTGTCACAAATGACTGGGGCAGGGTGTAACAATGGCGCTACATTGCTTTTCCATGTTAGTAATAATGCTATTTTGTTCGGGTTTTCCCCATGGGTCGCACCACGTTAGCTGGATTTTGAATGAGTGTGGGGCGATTTCCAGAGGTGGAAGAAAAAGGTTTTGAGGTTAAGGAGCGTTGAAGATTACTGAATGTTTGGGAGTTGTGAAGCGTTGAAGACTAATGGATGTTAACGGTGAAGACTAATGGATGTTAACGGTTTGAAAGGGAACATTATTAGACTGTATTGGATCTATTAAAACATTCTTTGTTTATAGTTGTCAAGGAGGAATTTCTTAGTCATTCGTTGAAGTCTGTGTTGTCTTCGTTATATTTCCTCAACGTCTGGATACTGAACTTTCACAGAGAGGCGCGGCCCCTGCATCAACAACCACCAATACTAATTGGTACGCAACGGGCAATACCTCATTCTACCATCATCTAATCTGTGAAAGAATGTAACAGTAAGCTCCCAGAAAAAGAATGTACCAGTAAGCTCCCACACAAAGAATGTACCAGTAAGCTCCAGACAAAGAATGTAACAGTAAGCTCCCAGAAAAAGAATGTAGCAGTAAGCTCCCAGACAAAGAATGTAGCAGTAAGCTCCCAGCCAAAGAATGTAACAGTAAGCTCCCAGACAAAGAATGTAACAGTAAAGTCTCATACAAACAATGCGACAGTCAGTTCTCAGACAAAGAATGTAGCCGTGAGCTCTCAGACAAAGAATGTATTCGTGAGCTCTCAGACAAAGAATGTAAATATAAGCTCTCTGACAAAGAATGTAACAGTAAGCTCTCATACAAAGAATGTAACAGTAATTTCTCAGACAAAGAATGTAACAGTACGTTCTCAGACAAAGAGTGTAACATTAAGTTCTCAGACAAAGAATGTAACAGTAAGTTCTCAGGCAAGCAATGCGACAGTCAGTTCTCAGACAAAGAATTTAGCCGTGAGCTCTCAGACAAAGAATGTAAATGTAAGCTACCAGACAAAGAATGTAACAGTAAGCTCTCATACAAAGAATGTAACAGTAATTTCTCAGACAAAGAATGTAACAATAAGCTCTCGTACAAAGAATGTAACAGTAAGTTCTCAGACAAAGAATGTAACAATAAGTTCTCAGACAAAGAATGTAACAGTAAGTTCTCAGACAAAGAATGTAACAGTAAGTTCTATAAAAAGAATGTAAATTAAGTTCTGATACAAAGAATGTAACAGTAAGTTCTCAGACAAAGAATGTAGCCGTGAGCTCTCAGACAAAGAATGTAACAGTAAGTTCTCAGGCAAAGAATGTAGCCGTGAGCTCTCAGACAAAGAATGTAACAGTAAGTTCTCAGGCAAAGAATATCCCATTCCTGATGAAAGAATGTAAAGATGACCAGACACAATTGAAAACAACGAATGATTAACATTGTTGAGCGTTTTCTTCAACTGTTCACAAAAAATTATTTAAAAGAGCAATAAATAAAATCATTAGCCTAAGTTCTATCACTATAAAGACTTGTGATAAACAAGTACTTGCAGCAAGTGAAAGAATAATTTTAAAAATTTGGACTATTTAAAACACGGCTAAGTAAATGTGATGATCAATGCCCACCAAAAATCGTAACTAGGCGGTCATTTTTATAAAGATAGGACTACTCTGTAATGCATTGCCATATTATGGATTTAATCAGTCACCTCCCCTTGATTACCTCTGTTTACGACTTCATCACTGGAGACAACTTCTAACATGTTCTGGTTAGATCCATACATATTTTTTTTTCAAAGTTGGTTGACAGAATCATATTGGACGCTTCTCAGAATTAATGTGTAATATGACATTTGAAACATTGCTTGTCTTATTCTCTAAGCAATGCCGGTGTAAACATGACATTTGAAACATTGCCTGTCTTGTTCTCTATGCGATGCCTGGGAATAACCACAAACCTGGATAACGGCTACACACCGGAATTCTTTTCCAAACAGCTGTCTGCCATGTGACAACAATTTGTACCGTCTGACAAATGACATAAGGTCTTACGGTCTAGCGTCTGACATTTGACATCAATATCAACCATCTGTCATGTAATATTTTTGTCTGCTGTCCACTCAATATAGACACTATTATGCCATACTTTCTTTTAAAAGACCCCATCAACTTGTTTAAAACGCGGTGGAACTATTTTCATCATTCAAACACTGGCCTTCAAACCACCCCTCCAAACCGTCCCTCCAAACCACCCCTCCAAACCATCCCTCCAAACCACCCCTCCAAACCACCCCTCCAAACCACCCCTCCAAACCACCCCTCCAAACCATCCCTCCAACCCATCCCTCCGAACCACCCCTCCAAACCATCCCTCCAAACCACCCCTCCAAACCACCCCTCCAAACCACCCCTCCAAACCATCCCTCCAAACCATCCCTCCAAACCACCCCTCCAAACCATCCCTCCAAACCATCCCTCCAAACCATCCCTCCAAACCACCCCTCCAAACCATCCCTCCAAACCATCCCTCCAAACCACCCCTCCAAACCATCCCTCCAAACCATCCCTCCAAACCATCCCTCCAAACCACCCCTCCAAACCATCCCTCCAAACCATCCCTCCAAACCATCCCTCCAAACCACCCCTCCAAACCATCCCTCCAAACCATCCCTCCAAACCATCCCTCCAAACCACCCCTCCAAACCATCCCTCCAAACCATCCCTCCAAACCATCCCTCCAAACCACCCCTCCAAACCATCCCTCCAAACCATCCCTCCAAACCATCCCTCCAAACCACCCCTCCAAACCATCCCTCCAAACCATCCCTCCAAACCATCCCTCCAAACCACCCCTCCAAACCATCCCTCCAAACCATCCCTCCAAACCATCCCTCCAAACCACCCCTCCAAACCATCCCTCCAAACCATCCCTCCAAACCATCCCTCCAAACCACCCCTCCAAACCATCCCTCCAAACCATCCCTCCAAACCATCCCTCCAAACCACCCCTCCAAACCATCCCTCCAAACCATCCCTCCAAACCATCCCTCCAAACCACCCCTCCAAACCATCCCTCCAAACCATCCCTCCAAACCATCCCTCCAAACCACCCCTCCAAACCATCCCTCCAAACCATCCCTCCAAACCATCCCTCCAAACCACCCCTCCAAACCACCACTCCAAACCATCCCTACAAACCATCCCTCCAAACCACCCCTCCAAACCACCCCTCCAAACCATCCCTCCAAACCATCCCTCCAAACCACCCCTCCAAACCACCCCTCCAAACCACCCCTCCAAACCATCCCTCCAAACCACCCCTCCAAACCACCCCTCCAAACCACCCCTCCAAACCACCCCTCCAAACCATCCCTCCAAACCACCCCTCCAAACCACCCCTCCAAACCACCCCTCCAAACCACCCCTCCAAACCACCCCTCCAACACAAAATGTTGAATGTTTGTAGCTAAGAAAATACAAAGTTGAAAATTCATGTCATTATATTTTATTTTTGAATTATAATTACACAAAATTAATTATAAATGAGTCATAGATACAAAGTGCGATTTTTGTATACCTACATCTGCAAACAGTGTTTTGTATTACAAAACTAAACTCTGTCTCAATACCTATTTTCAATCAAATAAGGTACAACTCTAACCAATCATTAATGTAAAAACAACAAAAAAAAATGAATCTGATGAGTAACAAAATTCTACTTTGTGGGATTTTAATTATTTATCACAATCTCGTTACGTTTAAGACCAGTTTTGCAACTCTTCAATGTTCTGCGGCAGTTCTCGCCCGTTGGTCTCGGGAAGACATCTCATGAGAAGACACACCAACAAGGAGCAGAAGGCGATGGCGAGTCCTGGCGCCCACACGGCTTGGTCTGCCTGGGATGAGGGGAACATCAACAGTCACGGGGAAAGATGACATGGTATTTACTAGAGCGTTTCCAAAGTTTTAAAATCATTAAAAATATTTTTCTTTAAATCTAACATCACAATGGGCCAGTAGACGACTACAAGGGTCACATTAGGCCAGTGGTCCACTACAAGGGTTACATAAGGCCAGTGGTCCACTACAAGGGTCACATTAGCGCTGTGGTCCACTACAAGGGTCACATAAGGCCTGTGGTCCACTACAAGGGTCACATTAGGCCAGTGGTCTACTACAAGGGTCACATTAGGCCTGTGGTCCACTACAAGGGTCACAATAGGCCTGTGGTTCACTACAAGGGTCACATTAGGCATGTGGTCCACTACAAGGGTCACATTAGGCCTGTGGTCCACTACAAGGGTCACATTAAGCCAGTGGTCCACTACAAGGGTCACATTAGGCCAGTGGTCCACTACAAGGGTCACATTAGGCCAGTGGTCCACTACAAAGGTAACATTAGGCCTGTGGTCCACTACAAGGGTCACATTAGGCCTGTGGTCCACTACAGGGTAACATTAGGCCAGTGGTCCACTACAAGGGTCACATTAGGCCAGTGGTCCACTACAAGGGTCACATTAGGCCAGTGGTCCACTACAAGGGTCACATTAGGCCTGTGGTCCACTACAAGGGTCACATTAGGCCTGTGGTCCACTACAAGGGTCACATTAGGCCTGTGGTCCCCTACAAGGGTCACATTAGGCCAGTGGTCCACTACAAGGGTCCCATTAGGCCAGTGGTCCACCACATGGGTCTCCGGCTCGCATGCTGCCGTTTGAAGTAATGGACGCCACTATTTTTAAAGCCTTTATATTAACTTTGCTTTTGACGATGTGTTTCTTTCTTTCTTTATTTGTGGTGGCACATTCTTCGGAAGGCTAACCGACCCATTTCCTGTCCCCCTATCGAAATGAAACTTGGCACATAGACTCGTTGCAGATGACATCAAAGTCTTTCAAATTTTCAGCCACACCCTCCACCCCACTCCGCCCCCCCAATAAATTTGTCCTTTTTCAAAAAAAAAATGTGTGTATGGGGGTGTGGGTGGTGGGAGGGGCATGTTAGTGATTTGTTCAATGGTTTCGTGCTCTGGTGTGGAGATTAATTGTGCAGCTGTTGCGATGTGCTTTGTATTTGCGAAGTATATGGGTTAAAATAGATCTTTAGTCTATTAGGTTTTTACATGCGCTAACTTTGATAAAAACCACCCCCATCGTTTTCTTCAATCACATAAATAATATATCACGTACGATCACAAAATTTCAAAGAAAAATGCATATAAAAGATTTACGCGAAGACCTTTGTTTATAGGGGTTATTTGTTTGTCTTTTAATATGGCCCTACCCGAAGCTCTAAAAATATACTCTTAGCAGATTGTTGAGCCCTAAATAAAGGCTAATGTCGATCCATTACTTTAAAAGCAACATTTTCAACGTTACAAAGATATTAGCTGTATTGTTAAGAACCAGCTCGCAGGGCTACTTATTATATTTAAATAAGCTTTCTAGATTACATGTGATATAATAAATAATATAATATAATAAAGGCCCCATTTTCTGTATGTAAAATGCCAAAAATAGCCTCATATATATATATATGTATCTCTCTCTCTCTCTCTCTCTCTCTCTGTATATCTATATATCTATATATATATATATATATATATNATATATATATATATATATATATACATCTTATAAAACGCTGATTTTATTTCGTTGAATCAAAATATTGATAAATAAACGTAACGAGAAAACCACTTCTAATAATAAGAAAGGGTTGGACATAATTGACCCACCAGCAGTCCCATGAAAGGTGCTAACATCCCACCTATTCGTCCTATCAAGGATGCTACTCCCAGCGCCTGGTTTCTGTTGGTGGAAGAAATAAAGATCCAAGTTGGCCAATATTTCATGTAAATGATCATAACAAATACACACCTACAATGTTGACATACACGCCTGCAATGTTGACATACACGCCTACAATGTTGAAATACACGGCTGAAATGTTGACATACACGCCTGCAATGTTGAAACAAATCCTTACAATCAATGTTGATATACTCCCGTCAATGTCGACAAACACTCTTACAATGTTGACATACACTCCTACAATGTTGACATACACTCCTACAATGTTGACATACACTCCTACAATGTTGACATACACTCCTACAATGTTGACATACAACTCCTACAATGTTGACATACACTCATACAATGTTGACATACAACCCTACAATGTTGACATACAACCCTACAATGTTTACATACAACCCTACAATGTTGACACACACCCATACAATGTTGACATAAACCCCTACAATGTTGACACCCACCCCTACAATGTTCACATACACTCCTATAATGTTGACATACAAATCTACAATGTTGACATACAACCCTACAATGTTGACAGACACCCCTACAATGTTGGCACACATCCCTACATTTTTGACATACACCACTACAATGTTGACACACATCCCTACAATGTTGACATACATTCCTACAAGCTTGACACACAACCCTACAATGTTGACATACACTCCTACAATGTTGAAATACAACCCTACAATGTTTACATACATCCCTACAATGATGACATACAACCCTATAATGTTGACATAAATCCCAACAATGATGACATACAACCCTACAATGTTTACATACATTCCTACAATGTTGACACACACACCTACAATGTTGACATACACTCCTACAATGTTGACATAAACCCCTACAATGTTACATACACCCCTACAATGTTGACATACACACAATGTTGACACACACCCCTACAATGTTGACATACATCCCTACAATGATGACATACAACCCTACAATGTTGACATACACTCCTACAATGTTGACATACACCCCTGCAATGTTGACATACACCCGTACAATGTTGACATACAACCCTACAATGTTGACATACAACCCTTCAAAGTTGACATACACCCCTACAATGTTGACATACACTCATACAATGTTGACATACAACCCTACAATGTTGACATACACTCCTACAATGTTGAGATAAACCCCTACAATGTTACATACACCCCTACAATGTTGACACACATACCTACAATGTTGACATACATCCCTACAATGTTGACATACAACCCTACAATGTTTACATACATCCCTACAATGTTGACATACACTCCTACAATGTTGACATACACCCCTGCAATGTTGACATACACCCGTACAATGTTGACATACAACCCTACAATGTTGACATACAACCCTTCAAAGTTGACATACACCCCTACAATGTTGACATACACTCATACAATGTTGACATACAACCCTACAATGTTGACATGCACCCCTACAATGTAGACATATACCCCTACAATGTTGACATACACTCATACAATGTTGACATACAACACTACAATGTTGACATACACTCATACAATGTTGACATACACTCATACAAAGTTTACATACACTCATACAATGTTGACATACACTCATACAATGTTGACATACAACCCTACAATGTTGACATACACTCATACAATGTTGACATACACTCATACAATGTTGACATACACTCATACAATATTTACATACACTCATACAATGTTGAAATACAACCCCACAATGTTGACATACACTCATACAATGTTGACATATACCCCTACAATGTTGACATACACTCATACAATGTTGACATACACTCATACAATGTTGACATACAACACTACAATGTTGACATGCACCCCTACAATGTTGACATACACCCGTACAATGTTGACATACACTCATACATTGTTGACATACAACCTTACAATGTTGACATACATCCCTACAATGTTGATATAAAATCCTACAATGTTGACATATACCCTACAATGTTGACATATATCATTACAATGTTGATACACATCCCCGACAATGTTGTCATACATCCCTACAATGTTGACGTACATCCCTACCATGTTGACATACAACCCTACAATGTTGACATACACTCCTACAATGTTGACACACATCCCTTCAATGTTGACACACATCCCTACAATGTTGACATACACTCCTACAATATTGACACACATTCCTACAATGTTGACATACACCCCTACAATGTTGACATACAACCCTACAAAGTTGAAACTTATCCCTACAATGTTAACACAACGCTACAATGTTGACACACATCCTTACAATATTGATATAAATCCCTACAATGTTGACATACAACCCTACAATGTTGACATACAACCCTACAATGTTGACACACATCCCTACAATGTTGACACACACACTTACAATGTAGACACAAATCGCTACAATGTTGACACACATCCCTACAATGTTGACACACATCCCTACAAATTGTACATACATCCCTACAATGTGGGCACACATCCCTACATTTTGACATACACCACTACAATGTTGACACACATCCCTACAATGTTGACATACATCCCTACAAGGTTGACACACATCCCTACAATGTTGACACACACCGCTACAATATTGACACACATCGCTACACTGTTGACACACATCCCTACAATGTTGACACACATCCCTACAATGTTGACACACATCCCTACAATGTCGACATACACTCCTACAATGTTGACACGCATCCCTACAATGTTGACATACATCCCTACAATGTTCACATACAACCCTACAATGTTGACACACATCCCTACAATGTTGACATACACCCCTACAATGTTGATATACATGCCTACAATGTTGACATACATCCCTACAATGTTAATATAAAACCCTACAATGTTGACATACATGCCTACAATGTTGACATACTGCCTACAATATTGACATACACGCCTACGATGTTTACATACACGCTTGCAATGTTAACGTATACCCCTATAATGTTGACATACACGCCAACAATGGTTACATACACGCCAACAATGTTTACATACACGCCTACAATGTTGACCTACACGCCTACAATGTTGACATACAAGCGTATAATGTTGACATACACGCCTAAAATGTTGACATACACGCATAAAATGTTTACATACACGCCCACAATTTCGACATACACGCATAAAATGTTGACATACACGCCAACAATGTTTACATACATGCCTACAATATTGACACACACCCCTCTCTTATTTTTTTGATCCGTAGACCACGCCGGCCAGTGGGTCATGGACCTGTAGTGATTTTGTTATTTAGCTGAAGTTAATATTTACATTAGTTACAGGTTCATTGACCTGTATTAAATGTGTTATTTACCTGTATTAAGTAAGTCATTTAGATGTAGTTATTTGGTCATACATCTGTAGCTAGTGGGTTATATATATGAAGATAGTTGGGCATTTTCATTAGTTTGTGGGTCATTAATATGTATAACGTGGGTCATTTACCTGCATTAAGTGGGTCATTTACCTATATTAAGTGGGATATTTACCTGTTAACTGGATCATTTACCTGTATTACATGAGTCATTTAGCTGAAGCAAGTAGGTCATTTATATTAGTTTGTGAGTCAATAACCTGTATTAAGTGGGTCATTGACTTACCTGTAATTAGTTGGGAACATTTCCGGCGTGTAAAGGAAGACAACCCCAAAACATCCACTTGCACCAATCATCGCCACCAGAGACGAAGTTAGGGTTAAATGTGCAAACACCGGGTTGGCTGGAATTAAAGGGACGAGATGTTATCATGACATGGTTAAATGAGAAGACATGGAGTTAACATGACATGGTTAAATGAGAAGACATGGAGTTAACATGACATGGTTAAATGAGAAGACATGGAGTTAACATGACATGGTTAAATGAGAAGACATGGAGTTAACATGGCATGGTTAAATGAGAAGAAATGGAGTTAACACGAAAAGGTTAAATGAGAAGACATGGAGTTAACATGACATGGTTAAATGAGAAGACATGTAGTTAACATGACATGGTTAAATGAGAAGGCATGGAGTTAACATGGCATGGTTAAATGAGAAGACATGGAAATAACATGACATGGTTAAATGAGCAGACATGGAGTTAACATGACATGGTTAAATGAGAAGACATTGAGTTAACATGACATGGTTAAATGAGCAGACATGGAATTAACATGACATTGTTCAATGAAAAGACATGGAATTAACATGGCATGGTTAAATGAGAAGACATGGGATTAAAATGGCATGGTTAAATGAGAAGACATGGAGTTAACATGGCATGGTTAAATGAGAAGACATGGAGTTAACATGACATGGTTCAATGAGAAGACATGGAGTTAACATGACATTGTTAAATGAGAAGGCATGGAGTTAACATGACATTGTTAAATGAGAAGGCATGGAGTTAACATGATATGGTTAAAGTAGAAGTCATGGAGTTAACCGGAATCAAATGTACACAATGTTAACTCACATTCTCACTTTTATTTCATTGTATAAAAGAATTGTGAACAAACATCTATCCAATGCCAATCCAAGTTAAAAGACCCACTTACACTGTTCCAGTTTTTTGAAGAGCCCAGCAGCCAGGACGGCTGTACCCAACACGACAAACGGTATCACTGTGGTGGTCCTTCTTCCGAACCTGTGGGGCACACCATTACAAAAAAAAATAGGACATACAAAGACAGAAGTAGGACATACAAAGACAGAAGTAGGATATACAAAGACAGAAGTAGGACATACAAAGACAGAAGTGGGACATACAAAGACAGAAGTGGGACCTACAAAGACAGAAGTAGGACATACAAAGACAGAAGTAGGACATACAAAGACAGAAGTAGGACATACAAAGACAGAAGTGGGACATACAAAGACAGAAGTAGGACATACAAAGACAGAAGTAGGACATACAAAGACAGAAGTAGGACATACAAAGACAGAAGTAGGACATACAAAGACAGAAGTAGGACATACAAAGACAGAAGTAGGACATACAAAGACAGAAGTAGGACATACAAAGACAGAAGTGGGACCTACAAAGACAGAAGAAGGACATACAAAGACAGAAGTAGGACATACAAAGACAGAAGTAGGACATACAAAGAAAGAAGTAGGACATACAAAGACAGAAGTAGGACATACAAAGACAGAAGTAGGACATACAAAGACAGAAGTAGGACATACAAAGACAGAAGTAGGACATACAAAGACAGAAGTAGGACATACAAAGACAGAAGTAGGACATACAAAGACAGAAGTAGGACATACAAAGACAGAAGTAGGATATACAAAGACAGAAGTGGGATATACAAAGACAGAAGTAGGACATACAAAGACAGAAGTAGGAAATACAAAGACAGAAGTAGGAAATACAAAGACAAATTAGTACGTACAAAGTCATAAGTAAGACTTAAAAAGACATACGTAGTACATATAAAGAAAGGAGTAAGACGTACAAATTCAGAAGTAGGATGTACAAAAACATAAGTAAGACTTAGAAAAACATAAAACAGGACATACAAAGACAGAAATAGAACATACAAAGACATAATGAGGACGTACAAAGACAGAAGTAGGACGTACAAAGACAGAACTTGAACGTACAAAGACATCAAATAGGACATACAAAGTCAGAAGTAGGACATACAAATACAAAAGTAGGACGTATAAAGACAGAATTAGTACGTACAAAGACATAAGTAGGAGATGTACAGACATAAGTATGACGTACACAGACATAAAATAGGACATACAAAGACAGAAGTAGGACATACAAAGACAGAAGTAAGACATACAAAGACAGAAGTGGGACCTACAAAGACAGAAGTAGAACGTACAAAGACAGAAGTAGTACATACAAAGACAAAAGTTGGACGTACAAAGACAGAATTAGGACGCACAAAGACATATTTGAGAGAGACAGACAGACATAGACATATCTGAGACCCACAAAGACAGAGGTGAGACAGAAATACACATATCTGAGAACAACAAAGACAGATGTGAGACATAAATAGACATATTTGAGACCAACAAAGACAGATGTTAAAAAGAAATAGACATATCTGAGACCCACAAAGACAGACGTGAGACAAAAATAGACATATCTGAGACCCACAAAGACAGACGTGAGACAGAAATACACATATCTGAGACCCACAAAGACAGATGTGCGACAGAAATAGACATATCTGAGACCCACAAAGACAGTCGTGAGACAGAAATAAACATATCTGAGACGAGAGCCGAGCATAAAGACAAATGTCGCACACAAAAAAAAAATCTGAGACACAAAAAGACAGATCTGAGACACAAAGACAGATCCAAGACACACAAAACAGATCTATGACACACAAAGAAAGATGTAAGACACACTGACCGGTTGAGGCTGAAATAGAAGAATATGTTCGATGGGATCTCCATCGTGGCCGTCAGAAAGTAATTGAGGAATCGATCTCCCGACAACGTGACAGAGTTGAGATAAATGACAAAGTACCCCAGAGCCGTGGTGAACCTGTGACAAGTATGTCATAATATATACACGTCAGCATGCAGAAAATATCAAGACCCAACCCCCCCCCCCACGCTTCCCGCCCGCACCACATACACATGCCGCGTCTCCATAAACAAATCAATGTCTGTCTTTTGAAGAGAAAACATCGAACAAATCATGAAGAATGTTCATGTAAACTATAGTGTCCTGCAACCTTCTTTCACTCACGGCACACCTAGACCCTTCCCATATTTCTGCGGCACACCAATTTATAAACATAATTTTAAAATTAAAGCTGGTCTATAGTTGCTAACATGCACCAACATTTGAAACATTTCGTAGAATTTAATCCGAGGGGCATTTCAAGTGTTTGGAACAAATGTGGGGTGGGGCAATGCATTTATGAACACCAAAAGTAGGCATAATGGCATAATGGTAACCAGCGCCGGCTCTGAATCCGGGGCCCACGCCCTACATAAAATGAATTCACCTAGTTTTGGCGACCTGGGGTTGTATCCCTTTGGTCCGACCCTATTGTCTCCCCTGGATTCTATAAAGACACATATAGTCCAACTGTTTTTACAAAAAGGAAGGGGAATAATATTTTGGACAGCTAAGATATCTGTGTGCAGCAGGCATCCACAAGATATGGCCCACCACCATCTCCTTTCTTAAGAGCTTTCCCTCCTGTCATATTATCTTTCGGCCCGCACAAGTTTTTCATACAGTATTACCGCCCACCTTACATTTTGAGTTGTACAGGCCTGGTGTATAGATACAAAGGGGCCAGTGTCACTTTGATCGGGAGCTGGCGAAAGCGGAAATGAAGGGAATTTAATATAAAGGAATGCATTTTGGCGAATACCTCATTTCAGTTTCGTATCAACAGAGAAACAGAAAGGATGTTTGAACAAATATTGCATCAATAGAGAGACAGAAAAGATGTTTACAAATGTATCTGTCTCTCAACCTGGTTGTTTTTACAGTATTATATAAATACTTAAAAACATTGTAAATAAATAGAAATATTTTTTTTTTATAATTGTTATTTAAACTATTTATTTCTTTAAGCTACTTCATTGATAAATGAATATTTTTATAAAAAAATGCAGAAAAAACAAATACAAATTCCGGTACCCCATGCCGGAGCGTGGCGCCAAAAAAAAATATTTAAACTATTTATTTCTTTAAGCTACTTCATTAAAAAAAGAATATTTTTATAAAAAAATGCAGAAAAAACAAATACAAATTCCGGTACCCCATGCCGGAGCGGGGCGCCAAAAAAAAAAAAAAAAAAGAAGTGATGACGTCATCATACCTATTGAACCAACATGAAACATAGCTCTATTAATTTGGTTACATTTTTACTTTATTAGAAATTTTAATATTACCAAATTCTTATTGGAATAAATACTGTTTCGTAGATTGGGTCTATAGATGCTTTATGTCTGTTTACAACGGGTCATTTTGTTTTTTTAACGTAGGCATAAGTATGTTAGGAATGTACATGACACATGAATGAACGAGTGGCGCAGGAAGGAGGGCGTGGAGGAGGCGACTCGCCCCGGGCGGCATTCTTTTACTCATATTGAGGGGCGGCTTTTTGGGCCTACTGCTGAGTTTATGTTCGTGGCCAGGGAGGAGGTGCGGAATGCTTGACCAGCCCAGGCGGCCCTATCCTTAGCTACGCCACTCCAATGAACATACGGCATCTTTGGTCAATCTCGTTGTTCGTGGCCAGGGAGGAGGTGCGGAATGCTTGACCAGCCCAGGCGGCCCTATCCTTAGCTACGCCACTCCAATGAACATACGGCATCTTTGGTCAATCTCGTTCAACTCCTTTATTTGGAAAAACTCTAGATCAGACCTGCACAACTCAAAATGTAGGGAGGGCCGTACTACTTTATGAAAAATTTGTGCGGGCCAAAAGGAAATAGGTCAGGGCTTGAGCGGGCCAAAAGAAAATAGAAAGGTGGGACATCTATCAAGAAAATAATAAGAATAAAGAATATTTCATTACTTCGTGGGCCGCAAAGTGTGTGCTGGCGGGCCAAATGCGCCCGCGGGCGGTATGTTGTGCAGGCCTGCTCTAGATTAAAAAACAAAGTGACGATCTTTAAAACAATAACTTTGTTTACTTTAAATATATAACGGTACGTAACAACATGGCGAATAATTTTGCTTAAGACAAGCAGAGCCATTACGAGGGCCGTGCAAACACAGGGGGTAGCAGGGGCATTAGATATCTCAGGGGCCAACAGTTTTGACGTGGGAACAAAAATAATTCAACTATCAACTTAGAATGCAGGTCACAAAATTGGAAAGTATAAGTGGGGAATATCCCTTGGTTAAAAAAAAATTTCATTGCACAAATATGTACTAAGGTTTTCGAGCCGAATCATGACACCACAAAGTCCATGTTAATTATTTTAATCTTTGTACTGCCTTTTCACAATTTTCATTTTTACATATTCGCTTGTTTCCATGTTTAAAGTCTTCATTTCATAATGAACTTTTTTATAAGCTCTTTCTACTGATTAAAAACACAATCATATTACTGTTGAAAAACTCAATAAAATGTATCTGGATACAAATAAAATTAAGAACCACTAATTTACTTATGACATTCCCATGTCAAGCCATATTTATGTCAATACACACACAAAAAATGTGTCGCACGATTATCACAGATAAGATCCAGTAAATAATATGTATGGTAAGCTTAAACATATTTCAAACAATGACTAACAGGAAATAATGACTAACAGCTAACAATGACTAACAGCTAACAATGACTAACACCTAACAATGACTAACAGCAAACAATGACTAACAGCTAACAATGACTAAAACAAAAAGTGACTAACAGCAAAGAATTACTAACAGCTAACAATGACTAACAGCAAACAATGACTTACTGCTAACAATGAGTAACAGGAAACAATGACTAACATGAAACAATGACTAACAGCTAACAAAGACTATCAGGAAACAATGACTAACAGCTAACAATGACTAATAGCAAAAAATCACTTACAGCTAACAATGACTAACAGGAAACAATGACTTACAGCTAACAATGACTAACAGCAAACAGTGACTAACATGAAACAATGACTAACAGGAAACAATGACTAACAGGAAACAATGACTAACAGGAAACAATGACGTACAGCTAACAATGACTAACAGCTAACAAAGACTATCAGGAAACAATGACTAACAGCTAACAATGACTAATAGCAAACAATCACTTACAGCTAACAATGACTAACAGAAAACAATGACTTACAGCTAACAATGACTAACAGCAAACAGTGACTAACATGAAACAATGACTAACAGGAAACAATAACTAACAGGAAACAATTACTAACAGGAAACAATGACGTACAGCTAACGATGACTAACATGAAATAATGACTAAAAGGGAACAATGACTAACAGATAACAATGACTAACAGCTAAAAATGAATAACCGCTAACAATGACTAACAGCAAACAATGACTAACAGCAAACAATGACTTACAGCTAACAATGAATAACAACAAACATAGACTAACAACAAACAATGACAATCAGGAAACAATGACTAACAGCGAACAATGACTATCAGGAAACAACGACTAACAGCTAACAATAACTATCAGGAAACAATGACTAACAACAAACAATGAATATCAAGAAACAATGACTAACTTGAAACAATGACTAACAGCTTACAATGACTAAGAGCAAACAATGACTAACAGCAAACAATGACTAACAGCTAACAATGACTAATAGCAAACAATCCCTTACAACTAACAATGACTAACAGAAAACAATGACTTACAGCTAACAATGACTAACAGCAAACAGTGACTAACATGAAACTATGACTAACATGAAACAATGACTAACAGCAAACTATGACTTACAGCTAACAATGACTAACAATAAACAATGACTAACAGCTAACAATGACTAACAGCTAACAATGACTAACAGCTAACAATAACTATCAGGAAACAATGACTAACAGGAAACAATGACTAACAGGAAACAATGACTAACAGCTAACAATGACTAACATCTAACAATGACTAACATGGAACAATGACTAATAGCTTACAATGACTAACAGCAAACAATGACTAACAGCAAACAGAGACTAACAGCAAATAAACTCTTACTACTCTACCACTTGTCTCTGCTCACCAGGCAAACCACGTGACCAGAGAAGTTATAAATAGACTGCGGTCTCTGAAGGCGTCGATGAGTGTCATCTTAGGACTTTTCTCTTCATTAAGTTTTAGGACATCCGGTTGAATCTGAGGCTCATGGTTAGATGACATCATACCATCGACCGACTTGGAATTCCCGAAAACCTATACGCCATGAAAACACGGGTTTTTATAGGCACTTTATGATTTATAGGTACTTTAGGATTTATAGGTACTTTAGGTTTTATAGGTACTTTAGGGATTTATATGTTTCATAGGTTTTATAAGTATCGTAGGCTTCATGGGTTTCATAGATTAAAGAAAACATTGACAACTGTTCATGCCATAACAAGCATACCCTTTAAGTCACCTAATCCACTTTCCCTTTGCACAGAAGATAATTGAAAAAAAAAACCACACAACTAAAACAGAACTAGTGAACAGATCTCGCAGATGATTACAGACGTAAACTAAATGCAGTCGTGTCCAACAAGACCTGTAAGACAGCTTCAAGTTTGATGCCGTTCATCTTTGCAGCTCGCTTGATGACTTTGAGAGCCCGTTCTGACTGACTGTTGGCCATGAGCCAGCGCAGGGATTCGTCCAGAAACCTGGGAGTTAAATACACGCTGTTAACATTGGTGGGACTTCGGACTAGAATCTGCAAGAATACTTTTCCAAACTGACTTGTCGTTAGATGAAAGGTTTCATTTGAGTTAAGCATGTCCTTGTCTGCTAATGTTTCATGTAATAATGGACTTAATGGTCATCTCAAAAGTTGAAAGAACAAAAAAAAAATATTGAGAAAATGAACTAAATATGAGTCTCAGCAAAGTGGAAAGAACGATAAATGGACTAAATGTTGAGTCTCACCAAAGTTGAAAGAGAGCCAATATGGACTAAATGTTGAGTCTCACCAATGTTGAAACAGAGCCAATATGGATTAAATGTTGAGTCTCACCAAAGTTTAAAGAGAGCCAAAATGGACTAAATGTTGAGTCTCACCAAAGCTGAAACAGAGCCAATATGGACTAATTGTTGAGTCTAACCAAAGCTGAAAGAGAGCCAATATGGACTAAATGTTGAGTCTCACCAAAGTTGAAAGAGAGCCAAAATGGACTAAATGTTGAGTCTCCCCAAAGTTGAAAGAGAGCAAATATGGACTAAATGTTGAGTCTTACCAAAGTTAAAAGAACGACAAATGGTTAAATGGGCTAAATGTTGAGTCTCACCAAAGTTGAAAGAGAGCCAAAATGGACTAAATGTTGAGTCTCCCCAAAGTTGAAAGAGAGCAAATATGGTCTAAATGTTGAGTCTCACCAAAGTTGAAAGGACAACGAATGGTTAAATGGGCTAAATGTTAAGTCTCACCAAAGTTAAAAGAACGACAAATGGTTAAATGGGCTAAATGTTGAGTCTCACCAAAGTTGAAAGAGAGTCAAAATTGACTAAATGTTGAGTCTCACCAAAGTTGAAAGAGAGCCAATATGGACACACAGCTGAGCGCGAGCTGAAGCATCCTCCAGGAATGGTCCCGGAAGAGGTAGGCGACCAAGGCCATGGTCATGGCCCCGATGGCCCATGTCAACCCGCCGTAGGTGGCCGTGATCCTCCTGTGTCTGCTGGGAAACATTTCCAGAAGAAGCGTCACCATACTGGTTACCGTCCCCTACTTGGCCAAAAAGAACAACAAACAAATACTTCGTATGCAAATAAAAAATAATTAAAAATGATAAAATGCCTTTCCAACTAGATCTTGATGATTAAAACCAGTTGAATACTTCAAGTGAGTTTTTTTTTCATGACATCTTTACTCTTTAAATTCCTAGTGTTCCTGTTTTTGTTTGGGAAACTGCTATAGAATTTATATAATATAAATATATATATATATATATATATATATATATATATATATATATATATATATGTATAAACATAAATACATCATACAATAACATTTCTATTTTTTTTTATGACATCTTTACTCTTTAAATTCCTAGTGTTTCTGTGTTTGTTTGAGAAACTGCTATATAATTTATATAATATAAATATATATATATATATATATATATATATATATATATATATATATATATATATATGTATAAACATAAATACATCATACAATAACATTTCTACTTAAACGGTAACATTGGTTTGCACCAAGATGGCCTTATCTGCGAGTTCTAAACATGCTATTTGTGCAAATGTTACTTGCCTCAAGTGCTGACCACCTCTCTCCTCCCTCTCCATCCCTCCCTCTCTCTACCCCTTCCCTTAGGTCTTCGCCGCTCTCCCCTCCCCCCGTGTACTTCACTATTCCCATTCCATCAGCGGCACTGACCCACACTGACCCACCTGTTGAAAGGCGCCGGCACAGAACTTGAACACCGCAAACACTGAATAGTTGGGCGCGAAGGCGACGACCAGGCCGGACACCAGCATCCCCAGGTTGGAGGTGACGAGCACAACCTTTCTGCCAAACCTGTCACTGAGGATCGTGGCCAGGACGGCGCCCACACCTTGACCGGCGATGACCAGGGTCTGACTAAGCCGGGCCAGGTTGGCTCTGTCACACACCAGGTCAAACTGTGAGAACATGAGAGACATTGAATATTGTCAGAAATGTATCCAACTCGCGCTTCCAATAAAGTAATAGTACACACTAGTGTTGAGAAACTACATCTCTAGCTGGTGGCAACATTTTTATTCATTGATCCGTAAAGATTTTCCTTCATCCGATGTGCGCAAGGTTTGCAATATATATATATATATACATATATAATTTGCTGGCCGCAAGTTTAAAAAAAAGTGTTTAATATTTCTTAATGATAATTTTAAACATAGTTTATTGAAGTCTTGCTTCGAAACATTACATGCCTGGGCATCAATTACACATTACATGACTGGGGATCATTTCATGGTTATCTACCTGGGCATCATCTCAACATAACATGCCCGGGCATAATCTTAACATTATCTGCCTGGGCTTCATCTCAACATTATCTGCCTGGGCATCATCTCAACAAACCTCAGATACCGCCGAGGTCGTGAGATCGAGGTCGTAGTCCGTTCCGTACGGGCATTGCTCTTTATAAAGAATCGTTCCATTGGACCAGAAGGTCACGTCACAGCGTCCATAGGTTACGTTGGTCACCTTGTGGTCCAAAGGGTAGATCTGTGACGAGTTGATGGGCTGGGAACAGCGGTGAGGGACGGATCTGCCTGGGCAAAGACATGTGCTTTAGTGTTAGGGACAGATCTGTCTGGACATTCATGTACACATTTAAGAATGTTAATGATTAGTTGTAAGACCATTTTTTAAAAAAATGTTTGAAATGTAGTGATTTTTTTTTCCTCACATTTATTCCTTCTCTACTCAATGAAAAAAAAAAGGGAAAAAAATGCTACGCATCCCTTTTAAGCGAATGTTTCAAGAGAGACAAATCATAATATAAAATGAAGACTATAACATTCATTATCATCCCGCTTTATTTCATTATGCAGACGTCCCAGACACAGAGCTAAAGCAAGGGTTAACGCCAGTCAATGCAGGCCAAGGATACTGCTGTCCCAGACACAGAGCTAAAGCAAGGGTTAACGCCAGTCAATGCAGGCCAAGGATACTGCTGTCCCAGACACAGAGCTAAAGCAAGGGTTAACGCCAGTCAATGCAGGCCAAGGATACTGCTGTCCAAGACACAGAGCTAAAGCAATGGTTAACGCCAGTCAATGCAGGCCAAGGATACTGCTGTCCCAGACACAGAGCTAAAGCAAGGGTTAACGCCAGTCAATGCAGGCCAAGGATACTGCTGTCCAAGACACAGAGCTAAAGCAAGGGTTAACGCCAGTCAATGCAGGCCAAGGATACTCTCGTCCCAGACACAGAGCGAAAGCAAGGGTTAACGCCAGTCAATGCAGGCCAAAGATAATGCCGAACCCTTCCACAATAAAAAAAAAATCTGCGGTTTTCCGAAAATGACCTCACCTAAAATTGAGAAAAATTCCCGCCAGGGGCGGACCGCCACCAATCATTGCCTTTGCGACGACACTGACAACTGTGAGTCGTGAAGTGTCCGGGAAAAAAAACAACCCCTAAATGAAGTCATATGCTAGTACCAGAGCCGTCACGTGGGGCCTGCAACTCACTTGGACTGCATGGAGCCTCGGCTATTTTAAGGGGCACCTTAAGCCACGTGACGGGACCGCTAATATCGCAGCTTGGGTTGGGTTTACAATGAGACAGCTTGGGTTGGGTTCACAATGAGACAGCTAGGGTTGGGTTCGCAATGAGACAGCTTGGGTTGGATTCACAATGAGACAGCTTGGGTTGGGTTCACAATGAGACAGCTTGGGTTGGGTTCACAATGAGACAGCTTGGGTTGGATTCACAATGAGACAGCTTGGGTTGGATTCACAATGAGACAGCTAGGGTTGGATTCACAAGGAGACAGCTTGGTGTTGGGTTCACAATGAGACAGCTAGGGTTGGATTCACAATGAGACAGCTTGGGTTGGGTTCCCAATGAGATATCTTTGATTGGATTCACAATGAGACAGCTTGGGTTGGATTCACAATGAGACAGCTTGGGTTGGATTCACAATGAGACAGCTTGGGTTGGGTTCACAATGAGACAGCTTGGGTTGGATTCACAATAAGACAGCTTGGGTTGGATTCACAATGAGACAGCTTGGGTTGGATTCACAATGAGACAGCTAGGGTTGGATTCACAATGAGACAGCTTGGGTTGGGTTCACAATGAGACAGCTTGGGTTGGGTTCACAATGAGACAGCTTGGGTTGGATTCACAATGAGACAACTTTGGTTTGATTCACAATGAGACAGCTTTGGTTTGATTCACAATGAGACAGTCTCATGACATTATTTTACTGAAGAGAAACACACCGTACTTACATATAAAGATATTGCTGAGCAACTGGAATGCGCTCGGGAAGGATGCGAAGGTGGTGACAACAAGATGTAGAACCTGGTACATCCCTGTGGGGTTGACCGCTGTTAGAATGTCGTCCACTCGGTGTCTTCCTCCGGACATCGTATAGCTGAGCAGGTTTTTAAAGCTATAACTTTTTCTCGGAGTCGGTTGTTGGAGCTATGACTTGTAGCTGAACCGGTTGTAACTAGTTCATGTTATCTCAGCTGGTATTTGAACTACGATATTTTGTCTGTCATTTTTTTTCTCTTTTGAATTTTGGATCATGTACTAACTTTAAAAAATGCTTTTAATTGCAGCTTTATTAGAGGTACGCAAAAACAGTTACCATTTGAACAAATAATAAATCAAAGAAATAATTTTAAATGTCATCTTAGCATTAAAAAAAGACAAAACTTGTTTTTAAGAGGTGGGGTAGCTAGAGTTGGAAGGACATTGTGGGGTTGAACAAGAGAGTAGCTAGAGTCGGAAGGACATTGTAGGGTTGAACAAGGAAGTAGTTAGAGTTGGAAAAACGTTGTGGGGTTGAACAAGGAAGCAGGTAGAGTTGGAAGGACGTTGTGGGGTTGAACAAGGAAGTAGCTAGTGTTGGAAGGACAATGTGGGGTTGAACAAGGAAGTAGCTAGTGTTGGAAGGACGTTGTGGGGTTGAACAAGGTGGTTGAAAACGCATGCGGTAAATATTATTGTTCGTCCGTCGAGGATCGACGATGACCATCGAGTCGTCCGGGACTGATGACTTGCGCGGGTGGCTTTTGTTTAAAGTGAGGAAGAGTTGCGCGGCGTCAGCCTCACTCTCTCGTCCAGGCCCACCATATCCAGTGGCAAGACTCTACGTCAAGACGACCACGGATGGACACGGTTGCAGGCATTGTCATTGTATGCACCTTACGGGACTCCAGTTCCGGGTTTGAAGTCAGATTTTCCTTCTCTTAGATGAGTTGCCCAACCAAGGTTAATAAGTCTTATCCACCCGGAATACGCATGCCTTATTAGCTGCTAACTTGCCTTGACGATTTGAGACATTTTTAAGTGAAAGTTACCTAGAACAGTGGCCCTCAAACGTGTTATCTTGATGGACCAGTAGGAATGATCCACATTGCAGTATTGCGGCAGTGTAGTGACCGTATTTATTGAATTTTTAAAGAGATATTTCCGATCCTTTTAAATGTTTTATTACATGCAGACCGGCGGTTGGTGGGACCAGGGTAAGTGGTCGGTCCGGCGGTTGGTGGGACCACGGGGAAGTGGTCGGTCCGGTGGTTGGTGGGACCACGGGGAAGTGGTCGGTCCGGCGGTTGGTGGGACCACGGGGAAGTGGTCGGTCCGGAGGTTAGTGGGACCACGGATAAGTGGTCGGTCCGGCGGTTGGTGGGACCACGGGGAAGTGGTCGGTCCGGTGGTTGGTGGGACCACGGGGAAGTGGTCGGTCCGGCGGTTGGTGGGACCACGGGGAAGTGGTCGGTCCGGAGGTTGGTGGGACCACGGGGAAGTGGTCGGTCCGGCGGTTGGTGGGACCACGGGGAAGTGGTCGGTCCGGAGGTTGGTGGGACCACGGGGAAGTGGTCGGTCCGGCGGTTAGTGGGACCACGGGTAAGTGGTCGGTCCGGCGGTTAGTGGGACCACGGGTAANGGTTGGGGATTGTAGGAGATTGGTTTGATCGTAGGAAGTGGTCGGTCCGGAGGTTGGTGGGACCACGGGTAAGTGGTCGGTCCGGCAGGTTGGTGGGACAACGGGGAAGTGGTCGGTACGGCGGTTGGTGGGACCACGGGGAAGTGGTCGGTCTGGAGGTTGGTGGGACCACGGGGAAGTGGTCGGTCCGGAGGTTGGTGGGACCACGGGTAAGTGTCGGTCCGGCGGTTGGTGGAACCACGGGTAAGTGTCGGTCCGGCGGTTGGTGGGACCACGGGTAAGTGTCGGCCCGCGGATTGCGACTTTGAGTAGCACTCACCTTAACTTGTTCTGT